TAGGGTCCCAAAAATAGGTTTCATTAAGATGTCAGGAAGCCTTAAGGTGCCAGCTAGAACCAACGTCTACTCAGAAACACTTCAAGGCGTTTAACACTCGTCTGGTACAAAGAAAAGTCAATGTGGAATAGAGAGGTGCAGGAATGAGTCCTTATCCCCAACGTGAGTCAGCATTTCATTACTTCCTGTCCCCTGGTCTGGAGGTCAATGGTTCTCTGAATGTGTTTTTGGTTGTTATCCTGAAATAAGGTCTGTGGTTAACACGAGCTGAAGAGATTTTAACGTCTTGTTCATCGACATAAAATACATCAGTAAACACCCCACTGGTGAATAAAAAAATGACTAAATGAGACGACTAAACATCATCACGCCCAACATTAGCCGCCGTTAGCTTAGCGGTGGGGACGTGAAGTCATGTGACCATCCTTTATAGCCCAACAATAGCCGCCTTTAGCTTAGCGGTGGGGACGTGAAGTCATGTGACCGTCCTTTATAGCCCAACATTAGCCGCCTTTAGCTTAGCGGTGGTGACGTGAAGTCATGTGACCGTGCTGTAGTTCCTTTATAGCCCAACATTAGCCGCCCTTAGCTTAGCGGTGGTGACGTGAAGTCATGTGACCGTCCTTTATAGCCCAACATTAGCCGCCTTTAGCTTAGGCGGTGGTGACGTGAAGTCATGTGACCGTGCTGTAGTTCCTTTATCGCCCAACATTAGCCACCTTAGCTTAGCGGTGGGTGACGTGAAGTCATGTGACCGTGCTGTAGTTCCTTTATAGCCCAACATTAGCCGCCCTTAGCTTAGCGGTGGTGACGTGAAGTCATGTGACCGTCCTTTATAGGCCCAACATTAACCGCCCTTTAGCTTAGCGGGTGGTGACATGAAGTCATGTGACCGTGCTGTAGTTCCTTTATAGCCCAACATTAGCCACCTTCAGCTTAGCGGTGGTGACGTGAAGTCATGTGACCGTGCTGTAGTTCCTTTATAGCCCAACATTAGCCGCCCTTAGCTTAGCGGTGGTGACGTGAAGTCATGTGACCGTCCTTTATAGCCCAACATTAGCCGCCTTTAGCTTAGCGGTGGTGACGTGAAGTCATGTGACCGTGCTGTTGTTTCTTTATAGCTCAACGTTAGCCGCCTTTAGCTTAGCGGTGGTGACGTGAAGTCATGTGACCGTTCTGTAGTTCCTTTATAGCCCAACATTAGCCACCTTTAGCTTAGCGGTGGTGACGTGAAGTCATGTGACCGTGCTGTAGTTCCTTTATAGCCCAACATTAGCCACCTTTAGCTTAGCGGTGGTGACGTGAAGTCATGTGACCGCGCTGTAGTAGTTCCTTATAGCCCAACATTAGCCACCTTTAGCTTAGCGGTGGTGACGTGAAGTCATGTGACCGTGCTGTAGTTCCTTATAGCCCAACATTAGCCACCTTTAGCTTAGCGGTGGTGACGTGAAGTCATGTGACCGCGCTGTAGTTCCTTTATAGTTCTCTATAGTGAAGTCAAACCGATGTTACGTTTTCCAATAAGATAAGATAAGATAAGATGGACCTTTATTAATCCCCGTGGGGAAATTCAGTTGTACAAAGCAGCAACAGGGTAAGCGTGAAAAAACAGGACAGCACAGATTCACACAGATTAATAAAATCAAAAATAAAATCAAGAAAAAAATTAAAATAATAATGATAATAATAATAAAAGACTATGAAATAGGAGAAGAGTAAAATAAGAGTAAAATAACTGTCAGCATATATACATATTTGGTCATCTAAATTATAAAGTACGGAATGAGTTAAAGTGACAAGTGAAAAGTGAAAAATGGACATCTGTACATATATATCGACATATCTATCTACATATTCGGTCTACTACTATAGGGTTGTGGAAACAGTGTATATTTATGTCCAGTGATTTTATTTGATTTATTTTTCATTATTGAGCCCTTGTTGTGCAGCCTGATGGCTACAGGCACAAAGGACTCTCCGAGGCGCTTGGTGCGTTGTTGAGGAGGGATGAGTCTGTGGCTGAACGTACTCCTCATCTTCACAATAACAGACCACATTGTTTGTTTAACTGAAGGTTCAACATCTGTCAGTTTTGATTGTGGGTAATCAAATGAAGGACGTCTCCATGAAGAGTCTGGTTTCTGTCAGACAGCGCTGACCTGCATCTGATGAACATCACTGACAGGTAAAGTCTTTTTCAATGTTTCTCTAAAAGGAGCTTTATTTTCACTTTGATACCAAACGCTAGAAAAGTAAGATCCTGTTGCTAGGCTTAGTGACTACTTCACTTAGATGTTAGTGCCTTAAACGTTTAACGTAACTTCAAATTCTTGATGTATTTCTACAAAAACATAATCCATGCTATTCTACTTCATACTTCGACTCCACTACAGTTCAGAGGTACATGGTGTACTTTTCCTCCACTACATGTATTTAATACCTTTAGTTACTTCACAGATGTGGATGAATGATGTGAAATATAATCAAGTGTTAAATCAGAATTTAGTTCCACCTGGAGTAAATCCACAAGCTACCCTGCAGTATACAAAGTCATTCAAACTAGCTGCACCTTTACCAGCTTTGAGAACACTTTCATGATCAATCATTATAAAACATATCATATATATTATTCTGAAATGGACCAATCTGCACAATGACTACTTTTACTGTCGCTACTTTCACTATATTTTGATGAGAATACTTTTCTACTTTTACTTGAGGAACATTTTGAATGCAGGACTTTTACTGTAACAGAGTATTCCTACACTCTGGTACAAGGTCTGAGTTCTTCTGCTCAAGTACAATGTCTGAGTACTTCTACTTTTACTCAAATACAAGATCTGAGTACTTCTACTTTTACTCAAGTACAAGATCTGAGTACTTCTACTTTTACTCAAGTACAAGATCTGAGTACTTCTACTTTTACTCAAGTACAAGGTATGAGTACTTCTACTTTTACTCAAGTACAAGATCTGAGTACTTCTCCCACCTCTGTGTACATCTTGATAAAACTTTAAAACCTGTGAGAAAAAAAACATTTCTTGTTAGATTTTGTGTAAATGAGCCTCAATGACTCGGACTTAAGGTACAAATGTACTGAAAAAAGTAGTGTGTTGTGAGTTAATAGTATGTATACATTTGATATAATATGTATTATAACAATACAATACAAATATATATATATATATAGAGAGGGCAGGGCGACAGATAGCTGGGCTCTATATGTATAAAAAGGTACATCCTGAAGCGGTCGGGTAAAATCTCTCCCTGAAGTTTATTTTCATGATGAGATTGTGTAACCAAAGCTCGACGCCTCGGAAACAAATATGCAATTTCAATAAAAAGATGTGGTCTTCCCCACGTGCTGAACAGCAGGAAGATTCCTATGACTATAAAAACAAAACATACATAACTATAAAGATGTGAAGCCCGCCACTTAGGTGGATTTGCATGATGTTTACAAGCTAGACAGACACCTGTAATAATAAACGTGATACCTGCAAAGTGAGGAATAATGTTTGTGATGCAAAGAGAGATCTGTAATCCTGACCAAAGCCAAAGTATTTTCAGACGTTAAGTGATTAATATCATTTTTCGTGACAGAAATGTTTGCATTTGACTGGAAAAAAGCGTTTTTCATATCAAATGTCAGTAAAAAAAGCAATCCAGTTTTCAGCTCTGGGTAAAATGCATGGCGGGATAATTATCTTCGCTGACTTGAATGGACCTGAGCCAGCGTTGAGATAATATTGTTAGTTAATAATCAGGCTTTGGTAACATGGACGTAACAAAGAGGACGCGTTGAAGTCCGATTTGATTGCTTTAAATGTTTCCAGGAATTGCGCGAAAACAAAGAAAAGATAGCCATGAAATGTCAAAATGTTCAAAGACTTTCTGAGTCAAAATGTTTCGCAGTCAGGAACACATTTTTTCCGATTATTCCAACACCACTTAAATGCAGCACAAATGCCCTATTTGGCAACACTAATTGAAACTCAGCATGTGTTTCCCTTCAGATTCACTTCAAATGTTATGTGTGTTGTCATGGCCCATCCTACAACCTTCCACTACATTTCCCAAAAAATAAGGCCATTCGATTTTCTGTAACCCTGATGACAGACTTACAAACTGAGTCAAAAACCTCTCCTCATAGGTGAAGATAATTATAAATATTAAGTTGTAAACAAAGCGCCTTTTTCAGAGCAGGAGTTATCAGAAAAGTGCCGGTGACGTAACGGTGACGTCACATAGTTTTTCTTTATTCACTTTATGTAATGTTTTGTTGCTTTGTATGTCTGTCCCTGGACTTAGTTGTATGTAGAATGTATGATGTTCATGTATGATATTGAATAGATGAATTAAACATAAAAATAATTTAAAAAAAGCTTGTTTTTGACTGTGTCTTTAAGACAGAAACGATCACATCAAAAACCCAGAAAAGCCCGTTTATTGGAGCAGAATAACCTGCAGTCCTGCCGGTGATTCATGTACTTTAATCGTCCTCCTGCCTCATTGTCAAACTAAAGAGTGACAAGTGTGAGAGCAGGCAACTTCATAAAGGGAAAAAGGCGCTATGGACATGAACATGAAGAGAGACACTTGAGTCCAAATAGAAGTGCAGCCTTGTCTTTTATTGTGAGTTACTATTTTTAAGAATATTCAGCTTGACTAAGTACCATAAACCCAAGGCCGGTTCATTTAACCATCCTAAAGCAGAAGGATTGAATAAACCAAATAATTGGCACATTGTAAAAGCATCTTCTCTTTCCACAGATCTCAAAGAACCTAGACTGGACCCTGAGATGGACAGATTTAACGAAACCTCTCCCATCGATTGTAAAAGTCTCTTCTCTTTCCACAGATATCAAAGAACCTTGATCAGGGATTCTGAACCTTCAGAACAGGAAACAAGGCGATATGTGGACATGAGCCCTACACTGGCACATTGTAAAATCATCTTCTCTTTCCCCAGATATCAAAGAACCGGAACTCACCCTGAGATGGACGGACGAAACGAAACCGCTTCCATCCCTGATCTGGTTTGGTACTTCCTGCCCACCATAGTCCTGGTTCCTCCTCTCGGGATCCCGGCCAACGCTTTGGTTCTTCGCCTCCTGCTGGGCAAACCCAACATCTGCTCCACCTCTGAGATCTTCGTCCTCAACCTGGCCGTGTTCGACATGATGTTCTGCTTCATGGTCGTCATCGAGTACATCTACTTCATGTTCAATAAGACAATGGCGAACTCTCACTTCCTGTCCTGGGGCTTGAGTCAGGCGGGGGGTCCGATGCTGCTCTGCGCTCTTTCTTTGGACGCATTCATGGCCGTCTGTCACCCGTTGATCTTCCTCCGTCTCAAAGAACCTAAGCTCCGCCTGTCCTTGTGCCTGCTGGTTAGCGTCTTAGCGTTCACGGTCTGCGGTCTGGCGAAACTAATGCCGGTTTACAAGATGTGGATGATGCTGGGGATCCTGATGGTGGCCATGCTGACCATCTCCACCTGCAACGTCCTGATCCTGAAGTCTCTGCGGCGGCCGGGTCCTGGAGGGAAGGATCTGCACCCGGTGAAGAAGAGAGCGTTCAAGATTGTGTTCACAGCGTTAGTGATGATGAACTTCCACTACCTGCCGTCGCTCGCAGAGTCCCTGATCAAGGTGTTGTTTCCCACACTTTTACTGCCCTACTACATCATCACGAGCTTCACCTACTTGATTCTGTCCATGAGCAGCTTCATTCAACCGCTGTCGTATCTCGTACGCACCAAACAGCTGCCGAAGATGAGATGCAACGAAAAGGCTGAGACGAAAACTATAGCAACAAGTTAGAGAAGAGAAATCAGAGAGAAGACCTCGGATTTCTGATAAAAAGTCAGAATTCTAGGAAAAAGTCTGATTTCTGAAAGAAAAGTCTAAATTAGAATTTAAGTCGGATTTCTGAAAAAAAGTAAGAAAATGTCAGATTTCTGATCAGAATTCTAGGAATCGTCATCTTTCTAAGAAAAAGTTGGATTTCTGAAAAAACGTCAGATTTCTGAAAAAAACTAGTTTTAAAAAGTCTGAATTCTAAGAAAAAGTCATATTTTTGGAAAAGTCAAAATTATAAAACAAAGTCGTATTTCTGAATAAAAGTTCAAAATTATGAAAACACATTTTTTCCACCAAACAGCTGCCGAAGATGAGATGCAACCGCGGGCCGGCGGCTGAGACGAAAACTACAACAAGTTAGAGCGGAGAAATCAGAGAGAAGAGCTCGGATTTCTGAAAAAAAGGTCAGGATTTTAGGAAAAAGTCAAAATTATGAAAAAAGTCGGAATTCTAAGAAAAAGTAAGAATTCTAAGAAAAAGTAAGAATTCTAAGAAAAAGTAAGAATTCTAGGAAAAAGTCGGATTTCTGAAAAAAAAATTCCAATTTATGAAAAAAGTCAGATTTCTAGGAAAATGTGAAAATGTTGAGAAAAAAATTCCGAATCCTGAAGAAAAATCTAAATTCGGAGAAAAAAACCTGAAATGAAAAAAAATCACAGTTCTGAAAAAGTAAAGAGTTGCGGTGAAACTTGTGACAGAAAAATGCTTATTTTCTCCACCCGTTCACAGGGGAGATTACAATATGTTTCTAGTCTAGGGGAGGCGTGTGGCACAGTGGATAGAGCCTTGGTGTTCGGATCAGGTTCAAACCCCACTGCAGTCAGCATGTCATTGTGTCCCTGAGACACTTCACCCCAAATTGCTCCTGTGGGGATTGTCCACAGTATTGAGTATGTAAGTCTCTTTGGATAAAAGCGTCTAACAAGTGACATGTCATGTAATGTAATGTAGTCAGAATTCGAGGAAAAGTCATATTTCTAAGAAAAAGTCGTAGTTCGGAAAAAAAAAGTAAAAATGTCAACTTTATGAAAAAGGTCGGATTTCTAGGAAAAAGTCAACATTTTGAGAAACAAATTCCGAATCCTGAAGAAAAGTCAAAATTCGGAAAAAACACCTGAAATCACAGTTCTGAAAAAGTCAAGAGTTCTGAACCGTATTCCGTACTTGCGGTGAAACTGGTCTCAGGGCACAGGGCTTCCATATTTTAAATTAAAGTTGGTTCTGAAGAGCTAACGGTAGAAAGTCTACAAGACCTTATGTAAAACTAAATGCAACAGAAAAGAAATACATCACAATATTTCATTAAATCATTCAGACAAACATCAGTTTTACTCAAACACTCTTTAATTTTGACATTAATCAGTTCAAATACAGTCGGCAGCAACGGCAAGAAACGTCTGAATTTACTCTTTAAGTTTGGCTTTTATTATTTCAGAAAAGTAAACACATTTACAAAAATAAACCTAGGAAAGAATCATAAATGTAATGTTTTCAGGACAGAGCACAGAGAGGCCGTTCAACGGCTTTTAAATATGACTCAAACGGACATTTAAAGATGATAGGAAAGGAGCTAGGAAAGGAGCTTTGAAACTTCCTTTATAACCTCCTTTAGCTTAGGAAACACTGGACCTTCCTTAACGAAAGGAAAGGAGAACATGCTGCCCCACAATGCCTTGCAGCCGCAACATTTACCGTGACACAACATTCGGCCGTTCACGGAAACAACCGAGAAATAATATCATGAAAGTTTCGGTGCTTATTCAGCATTTTACAACTTATGTGGTAAACTCAGTAATACCTTTACCATCAATGTTTACGTGTCTGAAGCTAATATTTAGCATAGTCTTATTTAGCATAGGGTCTTATTTATTAAAGGGTCTTATTGAGCATAGGGTCTTATTGATAGGGTCTTATTGAGCATAGGGTCTTATTGATAGGGTCTTATTGATAGGGTCTTATTGAGCATAGGGTCTTATTTAGCATAGGGTCTTATTGATAGGGTCTTATTGAGCATAGGGTCTTATTGATAGGGTCTTATTGAGCATCGGGTCTTATTGAGCATAGGGTCTTATTGAGCATAGGGTCTTATTGATAGGGTCTTATTGAGCATAGGATCTTATTGAGCATAGGGTCTTATTGAGCATAGGGTCTTATTTAGCATAGGGTCTTATTGAGCATAGGGTCTTATTTAGCATAGGGTCTTATTTAGCATAGGGTCTTATTGAGCATAGGGTCTTATTTAGAATAGGGTCTTATTGATAGGGTCTTATTGAGCATAGGGTCTTATTGAGCATAGGGTTTTATTGAGCATAGGGTCTTATTGAGCATAGGGTCTTATTGAGCATAGGGTTTTATTGAGCATAGGGTCTTATTGATAGGGTCTTATTGAGCATAGGGTCTTATTGATAGGGTCTTATTGAGCATAGGGTCTTATTGAGCATAGGGTTTTATTGAGCATAGGGTCTTATTGAGCATAGGGTCTTATTGAGCATAGGGTCTTATTGAGCATAGGGTCTTATTGATAGGGTCTTATTGAGCATAGGGTCTTATTGAGCATAGGGTCTTATTGAGCATAGGGTCTTATTGAGCATAGGGTCTTATTGATAGGGTCTTATTTAGCATAGGGTCTTATTGAGCATAGGGTCTTATTGATAGGGTCTTATTTAGCATAGGGTCTTATGGAGCATAGGGTCTTATTTAGCATAGGGTCTTATTGAGCATAGGGTCTTATTGATAGGGTCTTATTTAGCATAGGGTCTTATTGAGCATAGGGTCTTATTGAGCATAGGGTCTTATTTAGCATAGGGTCTTATGGAGCATAGGGTCTTATGGAGCATAGGGTCTTATTTAGCATAGGGTCTTATTTAGCATAGGGTCTTATTGAGCATAGGGTCTTATTGAGCATAGGGTCTTATTTAGCATAGGGTCTTGTAACATGTGTGAGATTCAGATATTCTTTAGACAGAAACATATACTCTGCTCCTTGGCTCCTTGATTCCTTGGCTCCTTGATTCCTTGCTAGCCTTAACAGCACTTAGATTAGAAACTCATGAAACCTGCACAAATTATATCAACATATAGAAATGTATAATAAATAATTCCTGATCTGTGATTCGTCATGATCAAAGTTCCTTCAAGACTGTATTTAAATAATGATTTTGACCTGAATGCACTTCATAATAACAACTAAATATGATCTCTCCTTCGCCTGCTGTGTAAATGCTCTGTACACACATTGAAATAAAACACAAGATGAATAAACAACACTGATGTAAACAGTCTGTCCGTGGAGTGAAGTCAATATTCTGAATTCTGTCTAAAGGTTATAAAAAGAGGTTCTTCAAGTATTCAAGTACCGGTATTAAATAAAAACTTGCTCAAAGAGAAAACCAAATAAAATTGGAAAAAAATATGCATATTTTATCTTTTTTAGGGATTTAAAATCAAACAACACTGATTAAAACAGGAAACTCACTTTGCATATTTATATTGTGAGACAGGTGCAAATACCTCCTGCACGCTGTCATATTTGCAACAAAAAAATACCTTTATTTTGGTATGATTTTAAGCATTGTGATTAATTTAGGGTCCCAAAAATGGATTTGATTAAGATGTCAGGAAGCCTTAAGGTGCCAGCTAGAACCAAAGTCTACTCAGAAACACTTCAAGGCGTTTAACACTCGTCTGGTACAAAGAAAAGTCAATGTGGAATAGAGAGGTGCAGGAATGAGTCCTTATCCCCAACGTGAGTCAGCATTTCATTACTTCCTGTCCCCTGGTCTGGAGGTCAATGGTTCTCTGAATGTCTTTTTGGTTGTTATCCTGAAATAAGGTCTGTGGTTAACACGAGCTGAAGAGATTTTAACGTCTTGTTCATCGACATAAAATACATCAGTAAACACCCCACTGGTGAATAAAAAAATGACTAAATGAGACGACTAAACATCATCACGCCCAACATTAGCCGCCGTTAGCTTAGCGGTGGTGACGTGAAGTCATGTGACCGTCCTTTATAGCCCAACATTAGCCGCCTTTAGCTTAGCGGTGGTGACGTGAAGTCATGTGACCGTCCTTTATAGCCCAACATTAGCCGCCTTTAGCTTAGCGGTGGTGACGTGAAGTCATGTGACCGTCCTTTATAGCCCAACATTAGCCGCCTTTAGCTTAGCGATGGTGACGTGAAGTCATGTGACCGTCCTTTATAGCCCAACATTAGCCGCCGTTAGCTTAGCGGTGGTGACGTGAAGTCATGTGACCGTCCTTTATAGCCCAACATTAGCCGCCTTTAGCTTAGCGGTGGTGACGTGAAGTCATGTGACCGTGCTGTTGTTTCTTTATAGCCCAACATTAGCCGCCGTTAGCTTAGCGGTGGTGACGTGAAGTCATGTGACCGTCCTTTATAGCCCAACATTAGCCGCCGTTAGCTTAGCGGTGGTCACGTGAAGTCATGTGACCGTCCTTTATAGCCCAACATTAGCCGCCTTTAGCTTAGCGGTGGTGACGTGAAGTCATGTGATCGTGCTGTTGTTTCTTTATAGCTCAACGTTAGCCGCCTTTAGCTTAGCGATGGTGACGTGAAGTCATGTGACCGTCCTTTATAGCCCAACATTAGCCGCCGTTAGCTTAGCGGTGGTGACGTGAAGTCATGTGACCGTCCTTTATAGCCCAACATTAGCCGCCTTTAGCTTAGCGGTGGTGACGTGAAGTCATGTGACCGTCCTTTATAGCCCAACATTAGCCGCCTTTAGCTTAGCGGTGGTGACGTGAAGTCATGTGACCGTGCTGTAGTTTCTTTATAGCTCAACATTAGCCGCCTTTAGCATTAGCAATTTACTTCAGAAACAAAACGTGTAAGAATCATAAAGGTTTGTTTGAAACAGAGATTATTTTCTGCAATAATCCAAAATCACATGGAGGAATCCCATTGGACCAGGAGATGCTGCCTTCAGGGACCAACATGGGAATACGACATCCCTGCACCTCTCTATAGCTGATACATAGTAATAATTAATATGAAAAACAAACGTTATAAAATGATTCTGTGGCACTCTCACAAGCATACTGTTTCCAGAACGATATGCTGCCACACGGTTTCAGCAGGTAGATCTTTGGCTTTTAGAAGCACTATGTACACTCTTCATTTATTGAATTCCTTCCTATGATTTCTGTGATCATTAAAACACACTCTCTAACGCAACACTAGACACCTTCTCAGTAGCATTTGGTCCTGAACGCACCTCTCCATACTTCATTTATTATTGTTTTTTAAAACATGGTACACCCGAGATGTACTTCCTGCTGTGTAGTCTCACCACGACGAGATCTGTCCGTGAACACGGAAACGATAAAGACACGTGTAGTCAACGTGACCCCAATTACTGAGAACACGCAACTCCACCAGTCTGTAGACAACACTGGAGATCTGAGAGGAGGAGGAGGAGGAGGAGGAGGAGGAGGAGGAGGAGGAGGAGGAGGAGGAGGAGGAGGAGGAGGAGGAGGAGGGGATTAAGGGAAATGTAAGAGATAAATAAAACAGAAATGAGATTTTTCTTTCTGATTTGTTATTCTATGGATATTCATCTTTCTTCTGTATTCACTGTTAATGCTTTTAGTTTATTTTGAACTCAATGTCTTGTAAACAGGCTGCAATTACAGATCAATAGTGAATCTAATCTAATGACTAGCCTGTTCACAATGCAAGTTATTTTAACATCGATATTCCTCAGTCTGAACTCACGGGCAGTTTGAACGTCTGCGTAGATTCTCCGTTCTCATCGTAGGTGAAGGTCCCGAGCAGAGAGCCTTCCTCTGACTCCTCCCTCATGCCCTGGGAGACACAGATCAAATACAGAGGATGACAAACTGATGCAAAGGTCTCTGTAGCTAGTGTACCAAGACAAACCAAAAAGCCTGATAAACAGTGCGTGGACATGGATTAAGTGACAGCTGTTTTTTGGCTGATATTTGCGGAGGAAATTATTCATGTTATACTTAATAAAGTAATAAAGAAAGTCAATATACAAGTGAAATCGAATGTAGGAACAGAGCAAATTCATCCTCAGAGGATAAAGAAGTTCTGCACCCAGAACACAGCTTACAGTCACCAGTGGCGAGCTGTCAGGGCCCTCTAGGCCATCTCTGAAGGCCTAGAGGGCCCTGAGAGAGGGCATCTCTGAAGGCCTAAGATATTCTACAAAATAATAATGTTAATATTAAAAACAATTTTAAATATATATTTTTTGTCATATTTTTCATTAGTTTTACCAAAATAACTTGATTTAATTGTATTTAAAATAACATTTCCAAAGAAATAAATCCTTCGAATCTGCCTATTCAGTTTCTGTTTGAATGTGAAGGGTTACATGAAAGAAGCTCGTCTCTGCGAGGTGAAGACAGGAGCTGATTGGTCCTGCTGTAAATTCACAGAGGGTCGCTATAGTAACTGAACGAGAGAGTAATGTCAAATGACAGTACAATTGACCAATCATATCTTCCCTCTAAATGGGTGGGTTTTATTATCGCGGGCTTTATGACAAGTTCCGCTGTGAAGCTTTTCTTGTTTCCATAGCAACAACAACTTCCTGTCAACAGCGTAAACTTGCCTTCAAAATGGGGGGGGGTTAGAGGGCCTAGGCATAAAAGTCACGGCTCGCCACTGACAGTCACACCAGAATAGTAGAGAATATCCAACTGGTCCCACCCTTCAATTGTCTGAGACATCCTCTAAACATCCCACCATTAAACCATAAGACCCCCTTGTCTTTAACCATTTGCAAATCCACCTTTTACTCTTCCTTTGCCTTGCTGATATGTAGATCCTTAACAGATGTCTCTGTTAAACACATACAAGACTAAACATGCAATTTAACAGTGTAAAAAAAAAAGACAATAAGAGTATATGTTTTAAATGATTATTTGACACGACAATATTCTCTGGGGTGACTCACGTAGACCTGGAGGTCTCGGGGGGCGGAGTCGATGCGTCCGGTGGGAGAGTTGTATCGGGGGAGGTGGTCGAGGGTCACGTGACTCACGGTGATGGGGTGAGAGAGGGAGATCAGGAGCGTGCCCTGCACACCGTGAAACGCCCAACATTTACCCGGCAACAGCACCGGGGAACCCTGGGAGAAACGAGGAGAGAGGAGGCTTTTATCTTACTGAGAAGAAAGGTTAGTGGAGGTCAATGTGAGAAAGGTTAGTGGAGGTCAATGTGAGAAAGTATTAGAGGAGGTAAATGTGAGAAAGGTAAGAGGAGGTCAATGTGAGAAAGGTTAGAGGAGGTCAATGTGAGAAAGGTTAGAGGAGGTCAATGTGAGAAAGGTTAGAGGAGGTCAATGTGAGAAAGGTTAGAGGAGGTAAATGTGAGATACCTGGATGACGGTGCGTGGGCTCTCTGATGGATACCAGAGAGGGAAACCAAACAGAGTGACACAGGCTGAGCGGATACGATACGTCTCAGAACACCTGGTGCTGATCACACTGGCTCCTACACACACACACACACACACACACACACACACAGAGACAGAGACAGAGACAGAGACAGAGACAGAGACAGAGACAGAGACAGAGACAGAGACAGAGACAGAGACAGAGACAGAGACAGAGACAGAGACAGAGACAGAACACACACACACACACACACACACACACACACACACACACACACACACACACACACACACACACACACACACACACACACACACACACACACACACACACACACACACACACACACACACACACACACCACACACACACACACACACACACACACACACACACACACACACACACACACACCACACACACACACACACACACACACACACACACACACACACACACACACACACCACCACACACACACACACCACACACACACCTTTGTTAGCTGTGATATTTGCCTGAATTGTAAGAAGCTCTCAGAGATAATTAAAGTGGACCTATCATGCTATATTTGAATAATATATTGTAGGACCATACCTATATAAGGCATATTTATACGTTTTCTTTTTCAAAATACCAAACAGATCATGCATTTTAGCCATGCCTCATTTCGCTCTATTTTGCTCTCCTCCAGCCTGTCTTTGCATTCGCTGCAGCTGACCACGCCCCCCTGCAAAGGAGGGGGCCGAGTTACGAGCGTCGTGTTACCATGCTGTTACCATGCTGTTAACATGCTGTTACCATGCTGTTACCATGTTGTTAACATGCTGTTACCATGCTGTTACCATGCTGTTACCATGCCACGGCAACCTCTCATTCCCCTGATAGGTGGAGAGTTGGCCATATAGGCGGAGCTCCTCGTCACTGATGTCAGACTATTTTCAAATCTGGATCAGTTTTTATCAGATCCGTGCAGCCCCCTTTTTTAGAGATTTGGGTATGGAGGAAAATAGAGAGGGTTTGTGTTTTCTGACACTTGGTGAGTTCCCTGGAACACCGGGGACACATATTCATGTAGAAAAGACGTACAAAGGTGCATTTTGCATGATAGGTCCCCTTTAAGTTTTATAATAAAACAAAGTTGTCTGATGTCTCTGACCTTGAGTCTCCAGAGCGAAGTCGGCCATTTGTCTGCGTAGGGTCGTCCACAGTCTGAGCAGCTTCCTGTGAGGCGGAGCGACGCCTGGTCCTGGTCACAGTAAATACCGTTAATATGTGCAGACAAAGGCAGAGCATTTACTTGGAAATAATGGCTTCTTTTCCTTGTTTTCGTCTTTTCTTTGTATACATTTCTTGAATATAAACACTAGATAGTTTTGAAAACGCCTCTTCCTCCTCCCACCTTGATGCGGTCGCTGAGCCACTTCTCCAGGGCCTGCTGCAGCTCCGGGGTCAGCTGCTGCTGGACGGGGGGCAGGCCTGCTTCAGGACAGGGGGCGGGGGGGGGGCGTCATCTGCAGGGACGACCACTCCTGGGAAAACTACAGGGAAACACACACAGATACATGAGAGTCAGACAGATGGGAGGAGCCAGCAGAATGATATCATGTCTCCAGTCTCTCCTCCAGCTGGCACCTTAGAGTTCTGCTGCTCTAAAGTCTGGATCCGGACTCTGAGAGCCTCAGAGGCAGAAAGGCTCTCCGTCTGATGATCCTCCATCTGTCGACTCAGAGCTGAAACCTCCTGCTGCAGACGCTGACGATTCTCTGAGTCCAAGACGAGAAGCTGAGCCTTCAGATCCTGCAGATTGTTTAGATCCTGCAGGTCCTTCAGGTCCTTCAGGTCCTGCAGGTCCTTCAGGTCCTTCAGGTCCTTCAGGTCCTTCAGGTCCTTCAGGTCCAGCTGCAGACTCTCCTTCATCTAAAGAAAGAGATAGAACAGAACCTTTACAATTAAATAATACATTGAAGCTACATTATGTACACCTTGCACAGGATCACTACAGCTACACCTGTACCCTCTGCAGTTCTCCTTCATCACCACTAGATGGCATTCACACAACCCTGATGAGACTCCGGGCACTTTTCACCCCACAGTTTGTATCACAACAACAACAACAACAACAACAACAACAACAACAACAAGTATAACAGGAGAAGAACAGAGAGGGATCTGCTCACCTGAGACAGAGTGAGTTCCTGCTTCAGCTGCTGCTCCTCCTGAAACACACACACACACACACACACACACATTACATTCTGACAACAGAAGCATGTGCAGCGAATATATTTCACACTGATCAGTGTTTTACCAGAAGACGTTGCATCGTCACTTCGACAGCACCGGACACAACGGCTGAATCCTACAGGAGGAAAAAGGTCTCTTAATAACATTTAAATAAACAAAGGGTACCACGAACCCCCAAATAAGATCTGTCATTTACCAGGAGCTTTTCCATCTTTGCCTCCACAGCAGCGGACACAACAGCTGGGTCCTAGAGGAGACAAAAGGGGCTTTAAATAGAATCAAGATTTAAATAATAACCCCCATATTTTCATGAGAAAAATGTGATATTTAATAATTACCAAGAGACGTTGCATCTTTGTTTCTACAGCCGCAGACACAACAGCTGGATCCTAGGAGGAGGTAGATAGATAGATAGATTAATAGATAGGTAGGTAGGTAGGTAGGTAGGTAGGTGGGTGGGTGGGTGGAGGGAATAAAGTGTTCTTAATACTATCGGGGTAAAAAGAGGAAAGGCACATCTTCAATTCAACAAATAAGTTCGAGTTTATCATCTTTAAAAAATGTGTTTTACCAGAAGACGTTGCATCTTCGATTCTACGGCAGCCGACACAACAGCTGGATCCTAGAGGGGGAAACAGGGCTGTTAATATTGTATTGAGATGTTAAAAAGGACCCCAGATGTTCATGTAAACAACCCATAAATAAGTATGAATGTATAATGTTTTAATGGTTTGCAGAGGGTCTGTGTTTTACCAGAAGACGTTGCATCTTTGCCTCGACGGCAGCCGCCACTACAGCTGGGTCCTAACAGGAAAACAACAGTGTTAGAGCTAGTTTATAAAGAGAGCCACCTAATCTGTAGTCAAGTACGTGTAAAGGACTACAATTCCCACGTGCCTCCTCTAAAGAGACAGAGATGGGTAACCTGTCGGAAAGACGCCGTCGAGCCACAGTTTTTAAACGTTAAGTTACCGTTAAAGTTATACAAGCGTAAATAAAGAGGTAGGTGGATGGATAGATGGATAGAGAGATGGATGGATAGATAGATGGATAGATGGATAGATGGATAGATGGATAGATAGATGGATAGATAGATGGATAGATGGATAGAGAGATGGATGGATAGATAGATGGATCTGGCTCGCTGGCTCGCTGGCTCGCGCTGGCTCGCTGTCTCGCTGGATGAGCTCGCTGGCTCGCTGGCTCGCTGCTCTCT